CTACAAAATATTACTACAAGAAACAAACAAAAAACCCTACATAAATGCGAGGGTGGACAGTACTTCCCTATCTATAATATAATCTATCCTTTCAGTCAACTGCACATATTAAAGTCTGTTTCATTCCTTTGTAAGTGACTAAAATTCTATTTTAATTCTGGAATCTGAAGAATTCTCGGTAAATCCTCATTTTCTTGATTACTCGTTAAGCTTTATACAAATGTTCCTATTGCAAACTAAAGCTTTGCAATGAACCATCCCAATTTAGCATACGTTGTTAGCTCTTTCCTACAGAACTGCCACATAACCACCAGGACCATCTATTTGTATGCAGCTCTTGGATGGGCGAGGGGTGGAATGGGCACCAAACCTTTCCAAGGAACTAAATGCAAGTGACTCCTGTCCTGTCGCTGGTAAGTTGTAGGTGACATTATCTTAAAATAATACTTACCAGTCCAGCCTGTGTAGGTGTTCTGTTCCAGTGGCTCTAAAGTGGAACCTGGCTAATTGCAGAGGAGAGAAAACGAGTATTTTTCTAAAACAAATAGACTTTTCTCCATTATGTTAAGGAGAAAAAATAGCTTTAGATAAACGTCAGGTAGGTTTCATGGACATCCCTCTGCTTTTGTCCTAAAATTGGAAAGGAGATTTGGGGAGGGAGAGCTAGTTGTTCCTTAGAGGATTCATTAGCCTTTACTCCATTTCCCTGCATATCCATTCACAGAAACTTTGGAAGTAAGTCTTGGGAAATGATAGCATCCTGGTTTCAAAAGATGAGCCGTGGGCAGGTTCACAGGGAGCAGAAAGTCTTTGTAAGATGACGGCTGGACTGAGGTAGCAGTAATACCACAGACATCCCTTTTCCTTCTTCATTTTCCTGCTGAGGGAAAGCATGGCCTACCCGTAAAGGCCGATAAACCACACACATAATTGAATAGTGAGGCAGTCTGTGACAATACCTATATGACAATAGCAACTGTCATTATTTTCCTGGCATTTTTGCTTGTATGTTAGCTGTCTCTCCACAGGACTGAACAACCCTGATAAAGCGGCCCATATAAGTCTAGTTTAGTGCTGTGGGTTCATAGCTGCATCTTAGCATCCAGGGTGCGTTGTGATATAACGCTTGCACAGGATCAGGAACCAAGGTGGCATGGGCTGTCTGTGGCCTTCTGGGGGTCAGAGAGCTCCACAGTTCTCAGCCTTGAATGGGTTACCATTCTTGTTATCCACTAGAAGGACATCCATGTTTATGGCACAGGTTGTGCAGAGGTAGGTCTCCACCTCCACCCTAATCTGCCTTGGGTTCATCCGGTTCCAACTTGATCAAGCAGTGTCCCTCCTTGGACTCTTCCGTACCGAGTGCCCTTTACTGCTGAGCATCAGCTGTCCACAGGCCATGGGGTGGTGTACAGTGGGGAGGGGTATACAAGGTCTGTAGTGTCTTTCACTCCTTGTGCTTTTCCTTAGTTTCCAGTTTTGTTTCGATTTTTTGTTTGTTTGTTTCCCCTTCTGCTTGAAAAGGAGCCCTGGTGGTGTAGTGGGTAACATGTTGGGCTGGTGACTGAAAGGCTGAATCCACCAGTGACTCCTCAGGAGAAAGATGGGCAATCTTCTCCTCTAAAGATCCTCAGCCTAAGAAACTCGGTGAAAGGTTGCTAAGGACCAGAACCTACTCAACAGCAAAGCTGTTCTACTGCTGTTCTATCTCCAAAAGAAGCTTTTCTTTCCGGAACTTCACCAAGTCCCTCATACTCCAATTCCCAATTCCCAATTCTCTTCTTCTTTTAAGCTTAGTTCTCTTTAAGCTTCATTCTCTCTAGCGCCTCAGAGGGAATATGCCAGCCATGTCAAGAACCTTCTTTGACGCTGAGAGTCTTATTTTTGCCTTGAAATACACATGAAAGAGAAGATGGCAGGGGGAGGATGGATAAAAATATTACCAGCAATATTTCTAGCTTGGTCCCAGATATTATACTGTTTCCTTGTGAGGTTCCGGATGTCTCTGAATAGGAACCACAGCATAATCTGTGCAGGGAGTATTATTTCATTTTCTTTGCTATTTGTGATTCATGGACATGTAGTTTAGCCCCACAAACCTGCTCAAGCACCCACTTGGTGGGTGTCAGATTCTGTACATCAACCTTCAGTCTATCCGCAGTTGTTTTGCTCTTCTTTCATGTGGGAAGAGAACTTAGAAGCTTTGTAGCCTGAGATCCTTGCTTGGCTGATGAAGAAAGTGAGGTTCTGGAAGGTGAAGTGACGAGCGTAGGTCTCAGATTTGCTGTAGAGGGTGGTCTCGCTCGCAAGACCTACGCTCTTTGCAGGAGCCTCCAGGGACTCGAGAAATGAGAAATGACCTTGGCAGGCAGTCCTTGAGTGTTTGCCGTGTGCTGACGCTGTGCAAAATGTGTTTCTTGACTTTCCTCTTTTAATTCTTAGCGTTAAAGCAGTTGTCATTATTGTTATTACTACAAAGCAGTTGTCATTATTGCTATTACTGACCTTTCCTTTTACAGATGAGGAAATAAAAGCTTGAAATAGCCAAGATCCTTACCCAAAGTCAGATGAATGCAGAGCAGAGCTGAAATTCTCTTCTGGGTCTGTAGGAAGAAGCAGTCTCTGCCCTAACCCCGCCCATTTTTCCGTAGAATAAAGAGTTCATATGAATAGGAGAGAGGCTTCTGGTACCAGTTGAAGAGAGGGACTGGACTTCATTTTCTTAAGGATTTTGCTCATTTTGAGAGTCACTCTGATTTCCAAGGTCTTCTGGTAGAAACTTTGCTGGAGTCTGTGTGTTGGCCTCCCAGCTGTTTGGTCATGAAATCCTTCCAGAAACTTGATGTCTTTGCCCCTTCTGCACCCCTGTGGACCACTTCCGCCTCTTCTTCCGACACTCAGCTGCTGGGAAAATCTAGTGGCTCATCTGTGCCAGGGGACCTCAAGTCACAGCCCTGAGCACGGAGGGGCCTGTGATGCATCGAGTCCAGCTCTAAGCCGGTAGAGGAGCGCCCTGGAGCTTGTGTAGACACCTGCTGCTTTCAGAAGTGACAAGAGACAACCAAGTTAAGGCATTCTTCAGTGAGCAGCTCTTAAAACACTGCTGTGAAGTAGCATTTTCTCTCATTAACAGATGAATGAGGTATGAACAGGTGTCACCTATTCATGCAGATATGTGTTTGTGGTTGAGTATTGTATGAAGAGGAGCAGTAGAAATGTCAGGTTTTGGGAGAGTAGATAATTAGGTTAAGGTAAGATGTGAGTCACTGTGTGGGGTAGGGACTGGAACCGTGGGAGTGGTCAGGTGGGGTGTAGAATGTGAGGGTAGAGGATGGGTGGTGAGTAACTATGGGGCTGGAGGAAGAATATGTGGGGGAAGGGTAAGAGGGGGTGTGTGTGTAGAGTATGGGTGTTTACGGAAGTAAAGTGTAAGGGTAGGTGGATGAGGGTGGAGTGTGATGAGGGTGTTTGTGTGTGGGTAGGTATGAGGGCACGTATGGATGTGTGTGGAGTAAGTGTGATGATGTATGGGCCGGTGGATTGTGAAAATGGTGTGGGGTAGGGTATGAGGGTGTGGGGAATAGGATATGAGAGCACATATGGGCGTATATGGAGGAGTAAGGTGTGAGATTGTGTATGTGGGGACGGAGTATGTGGGTATTAATGTGGGTGGGTGTGAGAGGGTTTGGGGAGATACGGTGTGTTTTGTGGAGGATAGAGTGTGAGGGTATATGTGTGAGTGTGGAAGAGTAGGGTGTGAGGGTGTGGGGGACAATGGTGTGGAGGGGTACCTGGGTGTGTATGCGAAGATGTGTGAGTGGGGTAAGATGTGAGGGTGTGAATGTGGGTGTGTGTGGGATGGTTTGGGGCAGTTCTGTGTGTGTGTAGTGTAGGATGTGAGGCCATATGTGTGGGGCTGGGTATAAGGAGTGAGGATATTAGGATGTATGGAGCTTGTGATGTGAGCAGAAGTCGGTGTGTGTGTGTCCCGAAGTCATAGTAAGGCAAGAACTGATGGCTCTGGTGCAGGTGATCGTTTGTGCCGGTGCCTGGCTGCTGGAGGAGCTGCTGAGACCTGCAGCGCCTCTGCTGTGTGGGAGCTGCTCCGGCCCCGGACGCGGGGTGACTCACTTACACCTGGTCAGGGGGATTCATTTGCTGGGCGTCTGCATCACGCAGGATGCATGCGTCAGGCTGTATGACTTTGCTCTTATTAAGAATCACGGGAGAGGTTGTAAATGAGAAATGAAGGGGACCAGTGGGAGGTTGTGCTGGGGGCTGTGGAAGAAAAATTGCTTCTCCCTCAGTGACCAAGGTCATCTCTTGACTCTGCTTTCTTGATAAAAGGCAGCTGCAGTGATCCCGTGAGAGAGAAGTAACTTTAGGAAGACACACACACACACACACACACACACACACACACACATCCAGATGCAGAGAAGAGGGTCCCGAAGCCCCTCCCAGAAGCCAGGCGCCCTCTGCAGCAGTAACTCTTTATGCTCTGCGGTCCACTGCAGGCTTTGCAGAGGGGGAGGCAATGGCTTTTATGAATGGTAGCCTGGGAGGGGCCTAATGACATCTGGTCCTGATGTCAGCACAATGAATGAAACACTTGCAAAGCGTAAAGCCTCAAGCGCCTGGGAAGCAGAAACCTCAGATTAGTTCTCTGAGTGCAGCGTCTCTTGCTGACGAAATCACCAGTCTCATGTGTCACAGACCGTCTCTATATGTTAGGATTCGGATGAGGCAGAATCTGAGGCTTGCATATGGAATAGCAAGTACCTGATTCCCTTTCAGCCAGTCCTTTCCCTGCAGGAGCTGTGGTCACGGACCCTCCCCCTGCCCAGCGCGGGAGAAAGTGTTGCGAGGAGTTGAAGACCCACAGCTGGGCTGTAGGCATTTTTAGAGCTAGCCTTATGTTCTGCTTTTGCTGGCAGAATTCCTTGCTGAAACTCCATGCCCTCGAATCTGATCTGTGCTCTGCATTTTTGACAAATCAGGAAGAAGCTGCTCAAGTGCATGGAGTCAAGGACCCCGACCCAGCTTCGACCCAGAGCATGCCTGCCGATGAGGTGGATTCTGCAGGTAAGAGGCAGGGCTGGGGAATGCACTCCTTTGCACGCTCAAGGTAGTTCAGCCTCTTGCTGCTTCATCTTGAACTGGGGCCCCTGTGGGAAATGGTACCTGGTGAAAGCTGAAGAGATGCTTCTGAGGTACAAGGGGAGGGGATGAGAAGGAGTAGGGAGGATGAGTATGTGTCATAAGGAAAAGTCTTCTTGCTAGCTTGGAATCAAAAGTCAGACTTCTATAAATTGGGTTCAGATGAAAAATACTCATGCTAACTTCTAGTCTGTATTTTTCTAGTTGATATTTTGTAGTGTGTGTGTGTGTGTGTGTGTGTGTGTGAGAGAGAGAGAGAGAGAGAGAGAGAGAGAGAGAGAGAGAGAGAGAGAGAGATCACAGCACCTAATTACTGTACTGTCTTGAAACTTATCCTGAGACCGTATAGGGAGAGAGAATTTGAGCACTGCTTCTTCTTTCTATTAACTGCTTAAAAGATGACTTGTCAACACAGTGAGGATAAAGGTTGTGGTGCAGCTCATTGTTCTCCAAGACTGTCTTGTTGGTCTCAGACTCTTTTAGCATTAGTTTCTGTATCAAAAAGCATCTGAAGTTGGTTTCATTTGTCTGTAAGTTTCTCCAGTTTTAATCTCAGGAAGTACATTGGCTAGGAAGCAGGAGGCAAATGGTCAAGAAGATATGAACATGAAATAAACACTAACTTAATGGAGTGCTTTCCTAATACAAATGAGTCAGAGGTTTGTAGACTGGATGGGTGGAAAAAAATAGGCTAAGATGCACTTCCTTCATGAGATGTCATTTATACCTAGGAATTGATAGAAGAGGGTCATAGAAGTAACTTATTTCATTAACAGTGCATCCACAATGGTAGATTGAAGACTTTGCTGTGTTAAATGGCCCACATCATCTAGTGAGGCAAAACAGTCATCTGCCATGTTTGAATGTAGGAAATAATAGTGGCAAATGATGGTAATAGTAGCTACTGTTATTTCTAAAGAAGTAGCTACTGTTATTTCTAAAGACTTTCTTTAATCCAGAAACTATTCTTAAGCATTTTATATGTATTTTCTTTTTTTATAGTGATTTAAATGAAAGCTTTCTGAAACGTTGGGTTTTCATTCATTCCTTGATGCACATTTTCCTCCCTCCCCTCCCACCTCTCTCCCAGTTCACTTTGTAATGTGCCTCTTGGTCCAGATTGTTAATTGTCATATTTTAAATCTTTACAACAGCCTCTGAATTAATAATACTACTCTGAGTGTATGGTAAGGTCACTGAGAACTAGAGAGGTGAATTTACTAGCTCATGGTAACTTCTGGATTATTGCCCATTGGATGCAGGTGTCCAGCTTCTTTGCTACCTGGAGAGTCCCCCGCTGTGTGGACCACTGTGATTCCAGTGAGTAGCCTGTGAAAGTGAGCCAGAGCCAGTGTTGAGCCAATTAAGGAAGACAGATTATTAAGATAGTAAAACCTCTTATTCATCAAACTCCACACCCTGCTCCTTTTAAAAAAGAAAAAACCAAACAAACCATGAAATAGTATTCTTTTTTAAAATAT